TTTTTATTTATAAAGGTATTAGATAGTTTAAGTCTGTGTACTTTGTGCAGGGTAATATACATAGATTAGTTATTTATGATTTATTTGCATTTGATGCTTATTGAAACTAAGTTTAGTTATTATGTGATTACTTAAGTAAATGAAGTAGAGTTATAATCGTGTGAATGAAGTAGGGAAGGTGTAGAGTAAAGTTTCACGGGAGCCTTAGCTTCATCAATTAATTAGTCTTTAACAAATGAAGAAGGTTTGTAAATTAATTGGTTTCAACGTAAAGATTCTAGCTAGCTATATGATTGCTTCATTGCTCGGCATATATCATTTAAATTTTGAATATAACCAACTATACTTTTAGGCTTAATGTTAAGGTTTTTTTATTAACACAATTATTACTTGCATGATCTGTCTTCCTTGACACTAATAAAGATGATTGAACAAAAATTGATCAAATTACAAAAATAAAACAAGTATTGATATAGTAGGACTTTAATTGCTTACAATAATTGAGGTGTAAGAAATGTACAAAATATGATTACACTATAGAATTGCAAGGATGATAATTATTCCTTCTTGCTTTCTCACTCCTTCAAAATAATACTTTTTTTTCTTCCATTTTTTCCTGGTCTTTCTGTCGATTTTTTTTCCATATATCTCTAGAGATCAAGAACCATAGTTTTAATTGTAGAATTTCCCATTTCTATTTGTCATCTTTTTTCTTGATTTCAACCTCTTCCATATATTCTTACAAAAAAAAAAATCTCTTTCATATAAAAAAAAAATCTTTTTCCTCTTACGCCTTCGGTGGATAATTTTCACCATCTATTTCATCTGCCATGGGCTGAATTACCTTGGCAGGTGTAGCTGGTGATTAACTGCCACCGGCGATTTCATCTGCCATGGGCTTAAGTCCTTTGGCAGATAAAGTTGGTGACTAACTGGCACCAGCAATTTCATCAGCCATGGGCTTAAGTCCCCTAACAGGGAGGATCTTTTCTAACATTCCCAATTCCTTTGGTGGAGTGTGGTGTTATTTGTGAAGGATGGCCATTTCTTTCACATAAACTCCAACCTTGCGTTGTGTATCATTGAACTTGGGTGTTATTTAGGTGTATAAATGTCAACAATTATATTTTAATTTTAGTTGACATTGCACCTAATTTTAGGAAAACGTTAGCAAAAACTTTGCCACCGATTCCATGTATTAGCAATAACTTTGCTACCGAATGTATAGGTTTAATTCTTGGTAATGGAATATGGAAATAAGCACGTATTGTTCACTGGTTGATAAGAGGGAGGTAAGAAGTATTTTTGGGTAGAGGTTTTTTCAGAGACATGCTGGAACTTAGATGATGAGAAGGAGATGTGTGTTTGAATTTACTATATTGTGAGTTTTTTCTTTCTTAATTGCTTTTGGTTAGTCTATAGGTGAGACAAGAGGTTGTGTATTTATAGCAAAAATGTTGGTACAATTATTAATCAGTTAAAAATAAAAATAATGTTGTTGCTTTCCCCATTTTTGAATACTGTCAGTAATAGTGTATGTTTAATGGACTAAGGTTGTGATGTATTATCACAGTTGGTCTGTGGCACTGTGAGTTTTTGGCTTGTAGTTTAGTTTGAGTACTGGTAAATTTAAATGAACTTTAACAAAACAAAGCTGTAAAGCAGATTCAAGCTTATAGTAGGTAAGCTTCAATTTAGTATCTAATTTAGGCTTCAATAGTAGGTAACCTTCGATTTGGTTAAGTAAAATTATAGTAGGTAAGCTTCAATATAGGCATAATGTTAATATAGGCCAAATACTAATGAGATGCTAATTCCATATTTCGAATTGTAAGGCATTTGTGTTTTTTCCCTTGTCTAAACTATAAGCTTACCTACTATACATTTCTCTACAATATGTTCATCTATTTTGACCAAGTGTTCATAAGCGTTAGAGGTTGTTCATTTTCTAATTATTGTGTCCTTATCTGGTTTGCGTGGGGAGTTATTATTCCGAGGAGTTTCAAATTTGTTATGTTTGTGATTAGTATTGTATCTATATATTGTAATGTTCTGTTGATCATGAACCTAGGATTAGAATTACTTGCTTTGTTGGTTAGGCATATATTTTAAAGGATTTAAACTACATGTAATAATGGGTGTGCTATACCCTAGACAGTTAGTAGAGAAATGTAAAATGGAGTGAGAAGTCTTAAAATTCAATTACATAAGTTTTGGTTACACCTAAGCATGATAAAAGCTATATTACTGCAAAAGATTGGTAAGCACCCTAAAAATATCTAGGATCGATTTGTGATGCAAAGCAACAACTGTTATATTTAAGCTAACTTGATCAATGCTACTGAAATAATAAGGTACTTAGTTTTCTTCTGTTGAATGTGGGCAGGCTTCATTTGCAACTGGGTTGCTGCTATATAGAAGCTATTCAAAAGGCCTGGTGATTCCTATGAACTTTGGGGCATTTTACAAAAGCAGCAGCATTAAAAGCGACGGATACTTAAGTCCAGCTGACATCCTTGAGAACCCATGACAGAACTTGTTTCTTTGTTAATATGTATGATGGACCTACTGCAACATAGAAGTCATTTGAGCTGAGGTCTCGAGTAATAGAGCCAAAGTCAAGTGTTCCCTGCAATTGATAATATGCAATGGTAAGTATCTAACTTTGAAAAGTATTCAGACTACATAATTGGTTAGGAATTGCATACTGTATTTGTCTGTTCAAATATTTCTATTATTGGCAGCTTAACTAATTTTTCGCAGTCTTCTGCAAAAGCTGTTAGGCTTAGTTCTCCAGTGTCAGCAACTGCATCAAATTTGAATATAGCCCTGGTGTAGACACCTAAAAATGTCTCCCCAAAACCAAACCTGATGATGAACACCTTTCACCGCCGTTATTGGTGGGTTGGTATTTAATCTTTGGAGCGCTTAAATCCATGTTTCTACCCAATACATTTCATAAACCAATCCATTTCCTAGCTCATTTCCCTAAACCATACCTTACTTTCCACTTTCCATATCCACATTACAAAACCGAGCTGAACTGATTCTATGGCTATATAATTTTGATCAAATTATTATTTGGTTGTATAGGAATTTCAATAAGCTTTCCAACCATATATCATAAGCCCAATTCCGAGCTATAGCGAAAAAGATATGAGCAAAACATTAAACTCGGCCCAAAACCGACACCCTTCTACTAAAACGGCCATATCTTAAAATCTACAAATTATTTTGACCTGATTTTAATTTGGTTGGAAAGTAGACTTGATAAGATTTCCAATGATATATTATATGCCTCATTCCAAGTTACGGATAAAAAGTTATGATGATTTTAAAAACGGGTAAAAACCTGGAATCACCGCGCACAGTGCAATTCCACCGTATTACGGGAAATTGCACCGTCTGACGGTGGGAATCCCCGTGACACGGTGCCCCTGCTGTGACACGGGGCTATTCCATGTCCCTTTTGCTTTCCTCGTACCTAAACTACTCCCGCGTCACGGCATTTTCCACCGTGTCACGGGAATTTGCACCGTCTGACGGTGGGATTCCCCGTGACACGGTGTTGTTTCCATGTAATTTCTGCGTTTCCCATACCGTGACACGGTGTACTGTACCGTGACACGGTGGATACTTCCGTGTCACGGTACCTGTGCCGTGTCACGAAATCTTCTCGTGTCTTTTCCGCGTAAACCCTTCGCGCGTTTTCACTCCCGTAGGTCAAACACTTCCCGCGTCACTCTAATTTTTCCCGCGTCACACCAATTTCCCCCGTGACACGGTAGAATCTGCCGTGTCGCGGTAGCCTTTTTTTAGGGTTTTTATCTTTTTAGGGTTCCGTGTGTTCCCTCTGCTCAATTTCCCTATAAATAAAACCCCCCTTTCTGCAGTTCGAGGCATCAAATCCTTCTCTCTTCCTCTCTTTTGACACCAAAAATCATTCTCTCTTTCTCTCTCTCATATTCTAAGCCTTAAACCTATATTCTTAAACACTATTCTTCCTTTAAGCACTCCAAGGAGTCCATATAATACCCGAGGTTCCGTCCTTAAACCAAGGTGTGAAAGGTAGAATTAACTAAGGGTTTGGACCAAATCAACTCTACTTTTTATTTAATTTAATTTCCATTTGATTTATTTTTTATTGAAGTTACTAACAATTTATTCATGATGTAGCAATTTAAAGGAACGCGCGGAAATGAGTAATTAATTTAATTACTTATATTATTTTATATTGCTAATATCATGATTATTATTATTATTTGATTTGACTAACGCTATTATTGTTAAATTGCTTCCAACATTAATGTTAATTCTATTATTTTTTATTATGATCACCATATTGCATGTTTAAAGGGAATATGTAATTGAAAATCACGACTAATAAGATAATTTGGACAATCGGTTTAGGTTCCTTTAATCTTGTTATTTAATCAAGTGATCACTAATATTTTAGAATTATGTGTTGCATTAATATTAAACCAATTTAGCATAATAATAGTTTGGAGCAAATTGAATATTTGTTTGTATTCCTTTGAGATCGCAGGAACTTTTCATAATAAGAATCGAGTAGAGGCCAATACGGGCGAATGTGACTTCATGACTCACTTCGTACTATCATCCCCGATCCTCCTTTCGTGGTTCCGAACCATATGGAGTTAGTAATCTCATGGATTATGAATGGGGTGCAACCTTCACGGGTCAATCGTTGTTGCCTATCGTTGTCCCTTAATCGTGGTTGCCTTAAATGATCCGTGAACGGTTTACAAATTCCTTAAAAACTTGTTGGCGGCTCCCTACTTTATTTGTCCCTAATCGTTGTCCTTAATCGTAATGTCAATTCCCACTTCCTATGAGTGGCAAGCATATTCACAACATGCTTTTAAGTAGGCGCACTTCGAGCAACGCCTAGACCTGGTAATTAGCTAGCAAACAATTTTGGATTCAGTGTCAGAAAATAAGTCCAACAATTCTTAGTTTACAACATGTTAAAGCATAAGTTACCTAGGAACACTTGTGCAGTCTAGTTTGAAGCACTTTTGGCAAGTCATGGATGAGTTCAGTGGTAGATCAACTCTTTTACCACATTTGTTACAACCCTCATACACAATCAGCCTAGTTTGGTCTGGCTCAGGAATTTTGACTCTAATCCAATGTATCTCTTGCTGAATTGTTTCAGTAGTCTAATAATATACAAGAAGTTAAATAATTATGCATGCATAAATCTTCTGTTCAGTGTTTTAAAATAAAGCATTTAAAGAAAGCAGCTGAAAATTACTAATAACAAAGAGGAAAAAGTAGATCATAAGTTATAACCTTTTTGTTAAGAACTTGTTCGATTGTTAAAATACTCTTCTCTGCAGTTGGATTCTTAGTGTTCAGTAATTGTATCATCTTGCTTTCAAGTTCAGTTTGATTTGCCATCACCCTTGTAAAATTTGTTATGTAGCAGAATATTAGTAGTAGCTATGGTCAATTGAAATAGATAAGTGTATAGGGAACAATAGTTTACCAATCCTGAAAAGCTATGAATTCTTCTCCAGTAGGGTTGGTATCAATGCTTGTGGAGAGGCTACTTGAGAGAGTGAATCCTGCATGATTTTAAAGTTATATTGGAGTTCAATGTAACTGGATAATAGAATAATTAGGTATACCTCTATTTGTTGCCACTCTTAATCCTAAGAATCCAGCTATAACTGGTTTAGTCTTCCATGAAAGCAGCTTAGAATCTTTAATCTTTGTGATATCATCCCATATAGAGACAGTCATTGGCACTGTGGTGCTGCAAAATTAAATATTTTGGCTCTGTTAGATGGAAATTTTGTGTTAAAAATTGAGTTAACATTATATATCGAAATATTATTGTTTCAAGATTTGTATTTACCTGTGGTCTATCACACTGAGGTCTCGAACTGGATGTTCAATGCCATGTTCACTTGTTATTGTTCTTATGTCACTGATAAATAGCACCAGACCTAGGATATCTGTTTTATCATGCGTAATATCTTAGTTATTTAAAAAAAATTCTGCACTTCTTATAAAAAAATTTAAGATTAAATAATGTATAGAATACCATAACGATCATCTGGATCACTCTCGTATGATACTTCAGCAAGAGGCACGTAGTGTACTTTGTTTGGGACTATTTCGGTGGTAACAGGTTGCACTATTGTCCGTCCACCAAATCTAATCGAGCACTCACCATCCCGATCTTTATATTTTGGGTTAACTGGTTCTAACGGTGCATTAGAAATCTGATAAGCATTATCTTTTTTGAATATGTCTCCATATTCTTTGATTTGATTCTCAAACAGAGTTCCTTTCATTTTGGTACCCTAGCAAAGACAATATCAAACAATATGTTACCTATTTTGTGAGAATTATGTGCTGTATCATTATTGTCTTTTCTAACATCTATTATATACTTTTTAAATATAAGATTAGGGAATACCTCATCATCTTTGAATGTGACCACCATAAATTTGGTTTTTTTTCTGTGGAGAAATAAGAACCCGAGATTTTTCAACGTTTTGGACTTTAACTTTGTAGTTCTTTGAATTAGGCTTTAGATCTTTTAAGAAAGCCTGATTAGATGATGTACCTTATTCTGGCTTCATAGTGATTTTCTAGAACATGTAAGGATGAATAAGGTTAGTGCTAAATGTAATTGATCAATATTAGATTCAGGATAATTAAGTATCATCTAACTGAACAGGATAAATGAGTACTATGTAAGTAATTCAAGATTTAAAACTCTTGACCATGTCATTTTTTGTATAACATAAAATCTATTCCTACATTGTGAAGGCTACTTAGGTTCATAATCGTAGGTTTGAAATTGGAGAGGTAAATTTATCAACAACTAATTATAACATACTCCAAACATATAATTTTCTTTTGAGGAATATACTGTACTATTTAATGCAGGTGTATATTATTTTTATGATGCATGGTTAAAGTTTCATAGAATCTTCTTTTCGTTAATGGCAGATGCCAAAAGAGTAGGTGTAATTCTGGCAACTAACAGAACAAGTTTACATTGAATGCAATTAGTTCTTGTTGGAGAATGTTCTCTATTCCTTTTAGGTGGGAATAATTAGTTTGCTATTAATGATAACTATAATGAATGCAAGACAAGAATAATATATTTTGAGCAAGTAACCTTAAATTCTTTTGCAGGAAAGAATGTACCGTATCAGCAGCAGTAGCAGTCAGATGGCACTCTCTGTAACACTGACTTTTTTTAGAGGAGTGTTTAATGCTAGTGTTAAAGAATGGAGTTCATCATGAGGAGGCTATTTATAAGGTGAAGCAAAGTGGCTAATTATATATTTTTTTTTGTTGAAAGCGTAAATTGTATTTATTTAATTGACATTGTATAAGCAATAGCTGTGTACATGTATTTAGTAGTTGGTCAAATATTAGCAATGCTAGAGAAGCTAAGTTTTTGGATTTTGGTAGAAGCTACAGTGTAAACATTTAATGCAAACCCAAAAAGTAGATGTGTATTCTCAAGCTTCTCCACATTATAAGGAAGATTGTATTTTATAGTTTTAAATTGCTGACTAAAAGTAAGTATGTAGATATGTAATAAGATATGATATAAATAATATTCCTTTTTAGTATTTTGATCATCATGAGAATTAGAGATATCCATTACGTTATGAAATAAATTTTGATCATCATGATATCTCTAATCCCTTTTAGCAAATTAGCTAAAAGGAATACTTACGTAAAAAGATATGCATTATCTCTAATTTTGATCATCATGATATGTCTAATTCCTTTTTAGTCATTTGTTTATTTATTAAATATTTCTAATAAAATAAATAAGATATGAGATTGTATTTTATACTATGCATAGATATGATACAATCATCCAATATCTATTTTAAATCCACATGAATTGATGATAAATTCTAAATACTGTGTTTTATTTATTTTATTTTTTTCGAAACGATATAGACTAATATAATCTAATTGAATTAATATATATGTTAAGTACTGTATTTATTAAGGGTGTCACGTCACTTATGAGGGCATGATTTAAGGAGCGTACTTCACATATTCTTTAAGAAGCATAAATCAAATCTTTTGTTCTCAAAATTTAAAAAGATATGATAGTACAAGCATTTAATGCAAAGATAGACATCCTATTCTAATTGTACAATATACTTTTTAAAAATTTCATAAATTTCATTTTAACACATGTTTTATATGTTAAATAAAGGTCACTTTTTTTATTTATGATGTAAAACTGAATAATATATTTTCATTTTAACAATCTATAATGGAAACAATTGCATAGAATTAGGGCCTGTTCTCTTACGTTGAAATTCAGTTCAGTTCAGTTCAGCTCAGCTCAGTTCAGTTCAGTTCAGCTGAGTTCAGTTCAGTTCTCCTCAATTCAGTTCAGTTCAGTTCAGTTCAGCTCCTAATTTCCTTCTCTCATAAGATATTCATTTCAGTTCAGTTCAGTTCAGTTCAGCAGAGTTCAGTTCAGTTTAGTTCAGTTCAGTTCAGTTCAGTTCAGCCAATGTGAACAGGCCCTTAATGTTAGATATTTTGAATATGATAATAATCACAATAGAAAAGGTACAAAATTTTTAAAATATAGCAATAATTTGAAATTGGTATACAACTTTTTTGGAATATAATAAAAGTAATCCTTTTTTTTAAAAAATATTTAAAATAATCTAGTACAAGCATTTAATGCAAAGTGAGCACATAGCTATTATCATTTCACACTTTATGATATCATTTAAGCATAGTCTATAGTTTGACAATGTGATTATATACTTATAATTATAAATATGATAAATTATCAATAAGTATATTGACTATTATATAGTTTATAGTTTTATGTCTTGTTCAAATTATTAGCATTGAAATTAAAGTTTATAGCCAATATATGTTTTATAATTTAAATAATTTAGTAAATATACAATTTGATATAATTTAGTTTTAAATTTTGCATGGGGTACATTAGGCTATTCCTTATGTAACTTACATTAGGCTATCACTGCAATGCTGATGTACTTAAGAAATATCATGTGTAAACCCTTCGGGGCAGAACAATCTCTGTAAGTACATTTTGAGTTATTAATGAAAGGCATCAGAGCCACCATTTCTATAAATATTTGCAATTTTTTATTCTTTCAATTTTTCTTTAATCTATCTACTCTTTAAGGGTTTTTATTAATCCTCGTCTGAAACCTTTGCCTTCAGGGCATTGGGTTTCAGATTGCTGACAAAATCGTCTTTCAGCTGAAGTAAAAACTTCAGCAAGACTTGTTCTCCAAGACAATGAGTCCATGGACAAATCTATGATATTGCCTTAGCTGAGCCTTATATCCCAGAGGGTCATTATCTGAAACATTGCCTTCAGTTGCCCTTGTGTTTCAAATATCCATTCTTTCAGATAGACAGAAAACCAAGAATAAATAGCAAAACTGTTAGAAATTTTTACTTAGCTTCGTCCGAAAGCAAAAGAAAACAAAAACCAACTTAGAAATCCAAACACCAAGTGCTCAGATTTCTAGGGGGGCAAGAGGCACTACAAGTGCAGACTACCTTCATTTAATTCTTCAAGCCGAAAGCTTTGTACTTCGCAAAATTTTGCGAAAATTTCAAAACTCAGAAAAACAAACAAGCAATGCAAGGCAAAGCAATTGAAGAAGAAGCATTAGATAGATGTGAATAATGCTCGGAAAACGAGCTACAAGTTCAAATGTTTCAAAATATAAAATGAACCATCGGCAGCCGCCCACAAGCGGAAAATTAAAGCTGCCGAAGTACGTACAAAGACAAGAAGTAAAGTTTGTACATCAAGGCAAGCTGAAGCAAAAAACAAGGCAAAAATGATTCAGAAAGTGGCAAGTCTAAAGTTAAGCAGACAATGAACCGCAAGATTCTGAAGACGACTGCCCGAGTTCCTATGCTTCAGCCAGAGAATCAAGCTGATCAGCAGCGCTGGGTCCCTCAGTAGTTTCAGCCCCGACAGCAAAGGAGGCAGGTTTGGCACTTAGCTGAGCCTCTTTTTCCCTCTGCTCAGCCTCTATCTCTCTCCTCTCGGATTCTTCTTCGGCTTCTTCAGCCTCTAGAATTTTGGCCTCGACGGGAGTTGGATACTTCATGTGGGGGTCTTCGGGATCCTGGACCCAGGCAGCGCACTTGGACCAGTCCAAGTTAGGCTCGGCGTGAAGGCAGACTCTTCGGCATACTCTAAACCCATTCTTATAACCCAACTCATATTCTTCTTGGGTGTAGATACGGACCTTGAGTAGGGCCTCAACATCAGCCAGCTTCTTCTGGGACTCCTCCAAGCCTTTCTTGGATTTCTTCAGCTCGTCAGTGAGCTTGGAGGAGGAGTCCTTTTGCTCGTTCAGCTCTTGCTGAACCTTTTAAGCTTTAGCCTGTACCTTGGACAGATCGTCCTCCTTTGCCTTCAGCTGATTCTCAAGCTCTTGAAGCTTAAGGTTCTGAGCCTCGGCAGCAGCAATTACCTCGGAGAGGTGAGCATCTCTGGCCCTGAGCGCTTCTTCAGCAGCCATAATGTTAGCTTCCAAAGCCTCTAGTCTTTGCTGCACTTCTTCAATGCGCTCAGCAGCTCCATCCCTAATTCGGCGCTCGATGGCAGCCTTAAAGTTGGGGATGTCTACGACCCCATGCTCTCGGAGAAATATTTCCCCTTCTAACAGTGGGGGAAAAATTTCCTTCTCCATAGCTTGACAGAAGGTCTGAATGGCCTCAGCAGCCTTCTTTTCATACTTTTCAGCGTTCTGCTGATTCTCCTCAGCTGCTAGCTGCCTCAGCCTAGCTAGCTTCGCCTCTTCTTCAGCGATCTTCTTGTCTTCCTCAGCTGCCTCCAACTTGTCTTGGAGGGAATTAATCAGCTCTAAAGTAAGAGCCTGATTGTGCACAAACTGGTAATAGAGGCACAAGTTAGTAAAAAAAAAACCAAAGAGTTGAACTGAAAAGGAAATAAAGGTAAGATAGAAAATTTATTTGCATCATCAGCAGCTGATTGGATTTGGCTGGGTTAGGGACCCTTCTGCTGGATTCGCCCATTCCAGCAGTGGCCTTCAGCGACCACGCTTTTTCCCTATGTACTTCGGACATCCCAGCAAAATTGCCGAAGTAGGCTGCAACTCCTTCTCGGTTCTGGCCCCAAATGATGTCCCAGATGTGATCTGGAATTGGATTACGGGGGGCCGAGAAGCCCATATATCTATATTGCAGCGTCTGGAATGAAGGAAAGGAGGACTAGGGAACTTCCTGAACCTTAGATGGTTCAACATCTTTCTTCTCTTCGGTGGAATCCAGCTGATCTCCACCTTAGTCGATTTCCACGACCTCCTCTTTTTCGGGGTTGAGGATTAGCATCTCAACCTCCCTTGCAATATCAGCTAAGAAACCCTCAGCAGCAGGTTTCTCAGAAGCTTCAGCAGAGTGCTTCACAGCACTCTCTTGGACCTCCTCTTGAACCCCTTCCTTCGGATCAGTAGTTCTTTGGTCCACCTCCATCTCGGGAGGTGGTGAAGGGGTTCGAGGAGGAGGCTACACTGGTGGTGGGGGAGCCCTCGGTGATCCACCACCTTCCTCAAGCTCTGTGATACTGATCCCAGTAGGCCTCGGCCTAGCCTGAAAGGCGTGGGGACCCAGTATGACCATCCCCGTTCTCCCCGTTCTCCTCCTCTTGATTAGAGGTTGTTCGTCCATATCAGATTCTTTGGATTCCTCGGGGAGCTGATCTTCAGGACGAATGGGAGCCTTGCCTTCTCGTTATTTTTTGCTCTCTTCAGACTGCAGAAAACAGGGGGGCAGTAAAAGTGAGTAAAAAAAACACAAAAAAAAGAAGAAAAAAGAAGCTGAAAAGTTAAGTTTGAAAAACTCACCGAAGTCTTCAGCAAAGCCTCGTCTTCTTCTGCTGCTTTAGCTGCTGCCTCGTCTTCAGCAGCCTTGGAGGTTCCTTCTTCTTCACAAGCTTCGATAGCCCGTGCAACCTCTTTGGCTGTATGAGCAGCTTCCTCCTCTTCGGGAAGTAGGCGATACCAAGGATCGCGCTTCTTCCACCAAGGGTTTTGCCTCTGATAGAGGGCAGCTGCCTCAATCTGAAGATGAGTGAGATGCAGATGCGCCTCTCTGTCTTTCGGATCAGTGATTGGAGGAGCCGGATTTATAATGGTCCTCTCAACGTTGACTCCGAGGAGCTCATAGTCAATGCCAACAGTGGCTTCGTTCCGCTCTGAACACAAAAAATGAGCAGAGGTTAGTTCAGCAAAATTAAAAACGATGGATAATTTATAGAAAAAATGCAAAGCGAAAACAGAAAGAAAAAGAAAAAGTAAAGGCCTCGGCCCCAGCCGAAGGAGCTTACCATCTCTTAACTTTCGGCTGAGGCCGACAGCAGCGAGCATGTTCTCTTGGAAGACATTATGGTTGTCCGGGAGCCAAGTCTCCGGGACAAACTTCATTCAGACGATCCCTCCAGGGTTTTCTCTCTTGCCGAAGATGTTGACCTGATTGAGATGGAAATCTGGGCCATCGTTTTCTAAGGGGGCCCAGACTCCTCATGTCTGGGTCAGGCTCGGAGAGATACCAAGGAGCGCTGAAGACGAAGGGATGGTCTGGATCTGTGGGTGCCCTAACCCAGATCCATTTCCCTCTCTAATCCTTATCTGAAGAGTCATTCGGTCACATTGTTAGGTACTGGGAGTGGGTCTCAATCCGATACCACCCAGCACCATGCTTGCCGTACCTGCTTTGAGCATTCGGCACCAGCCGATGGATCTTTTTGAAGTAGTGCAGGTTCGGCGTGTATCTAAAGAATTTGCAGACCCTCAAGTACGTCATCACCCTTCGGATGCTGACGGGGGTCAATTGGCACAGAGAAATCCTGTAGTGAATAAGGAGATCTCTGATGAACTCGTCCAATGGGAAGCGCATCCCAAATTGAAGCTGCCTCGTGTACACCCCCACATACCCAGGGGGTGGACGATGAATCCTGTCTGATGCCGTAGGCATTCGGCACCAGAACCCATCAGCTTCCATTATGCCGTAGTGCAGCTCAATTTGCTCGGCGAATCGATACACTTCAGCGTTCCTTACCCACCAAGAGTAAGGCATGTTCTTCATCATAGCTGAGATGGTCTCGGGATTGTCCCACTCTTCAAATCCAGGGAGAACATCCCAAAGAACAGCAAGGACCTCCTCGTCCTGCCCAGAAGTGCTCAGCCCCTCCGTTCCTTGAGGAGGCTCCGAAGATATTGGGGTTGCCCTAAGCCCTTCAGCAGGGTCAGGTCCTACCCTTACCCCATTCCTTGTTCCAGTCCTGTCCCGAGGATCTGGAATTTGTCTTGCTCGTCGTGGTGCGCGTGCTCTACCTCTCACACCTCTCACCATTGTTGTGTTTTTGAAGAGAAAAATCAAGAAAAAGGGGAGTGCGTTCAAATTCGAAGAAAATCAAACAAAAATCAAGGAAAATTACCTTAATCTGAAGCGGAATTTGCCGATCTACAAGTTCGGAGTGACGAATTTCAGTTTCTAAGCTTAATTCTTGGGGATTCAATGAAGTTTTAATGCGGATTCGAGGGTTTTTCGTGAGTGCAAATTTGTGTTTGTGAAGAAATGGGGAGAGATAGTGCGCTCCTTTTGCTTTTATTTCCAGAAATGGGAATTGTGGGAGTCCGTGCTTTAATTTTCTCTTAAATTCCTCATTAAGTAACCGTTTAACACGTTCCCTCCTAATTAACTACCCATTATCCGTCCAACTTCCTCAATTATCCATTCAACTGCAGTTATTTCATTAATTGCGGTTTAAATTCAAATTGTTTGGATTAATTAAATCATTTACTTCCCTCCTTTTTTTGGTTAATTAAACCCGACCTGTCATTCTTCCAAATCGGGTCTGAGGGGCAAGTTGTTTGGGTCCAATTTAGTCCAATTGGGCCCAGTCCATAAATGATCCAATTAAAAGCCCAAGGTCAAGGTTCAACTCTCCATTTGTGCTAAAGTCAAGGTCAGTCAAACATGGCAAGTTAATTGGGCTTAGGCCCACTTCTCCAATTTGTGCATAGGTATAAAAGCCATCAATTCCACCATTTTACATTCATTCACAAAAAAAGCCTCAAGCAATTAATTCTCTTGCATAGCTTTCCCTCTCTACACATTGTACTGACTCTAGCATCAGAGGGGTCTTCCTTGGCAACACCTCCAAGGCTAGTTTACGTGTGTTTGCTGTGCAGGACATCCTCGGCCCAACATCAGTTGGTCTAAGCCCAGTTTTCACCATTTCTCAGGACCTTCGGCAAGGTCCCATTGTTTTGACCCGAAATAATTTTGTCTTGAAGGCAATTTCAATGATTAGCTTATATTGAAAGTGATAAGAAAATTGAGTAATTAGTGTGATGAGAAAATCAAGTAGTAATCTTAGATGGTTATAATTTAAAATTATATGTAATAATGTAGTAAGTAATAAATAGTAGTCTTAGATAGAAGTAGTAGTCTTAAAGATCTCAAGTTGTAGTGTTAGATCTCAAGTAGTAGTCTTAACATTCTTGGTACATATAATGCTACTATTTATTATGGGAATGTGTAAGAGTACAAAAATAGGGTAAGATAGTGTAGTACAAGCATTTAATGCAAAGTAAGTGGATTACTTGTACAGTGCTAGAATTGTCTTACTTTGAGGATATTTGTTTCTCTATATTATGTATGCATGACTATTATAATAGATCTGTATTTATATTATTCTATATGACTAAATTGTTGAAGATTAATTGAATTATTTTAATCATTTTAATCTTCCAATAATTAAATATTTATAGATGAATGATTGAAAGTTAATCGTAATTACCTTAATCATTGTAATGCACCAATAATAAAATATTTTTAGATATCTAATATTTTAAATGTAGGCGGATATAGTTGTGTTAGGATAAGAGTTCTAATCAATATGTGTAGCATGTAACTATTAGAAATTTAACGGAAATCCAAATAATTCGATATTTTAAATTTGTATACTTGTACAATTTTGAATAAGCAAAGAGAAAAATGACTAATTAGTATGAAAAAATTATTAATTAGTCGTTTCAAAAAGTAGTTAAGCATTAAAAAAATCATTACATGTAATATTTCTATATTTTATTTTTAATTCTTAAATGTGCATGCAGTTCACATAGCCACCATGTAATTGTTCTGTCTTGCTACAGTAATTGTAGGATACGAAGAGTTGTCTTCCAATTTTGTTTCTAATTTCTAGAAAGCCTTTCCTCTGCAACTATTTATATTCTCCATGCTCTTTCACCATTAGCTACAAAACCTAGGTTTAACAGTTGAAATTTCCATCTTTTGTTCTCCTAATTTCTAAACACAGATCAATGGCAAATGCTTCATCAAGTAGGGTGCAAGTATACTGCGTAGATAGGCGTAGGCTAAAAGCGCTTGTGCATTTCCGCTCCCATTTAATCAAAATAGTTAAATGCTGGCTTGAATCAGAAGAGGGGTATAAAGAAATGGTACAGTGTTGCAATGACATCAGGAAGAGAATGCGACAAGTCAAGGATGATGGGGAAGGGAAGAAGAAATTATTGGTAGACTGTGAATGGTATGTGTTGTATCTAGAGCAATTGCGGTATGAGATGCAGGGAATGGTGAATGAGCTTCTGTTTGAGAAGGATAAGCTTGATGAAATATTGAGAGAAGAAGAGATGAAAGAGGAGATGGCAAGAAGGGTAAAACAAAGGGAAGAAGAGGAAAAAAAAGGAAGCAAAGGGAAGAGGAAAAGGCATTGTTGGAGAAGAAGAGAGCAAAGGCTAGGAAAATCAATCAGTGGTATGAACCTGACTCTCCAATTCGATTCTCTGAAGAATCAGACTATGATTCTAACAATGATAAGCACTCTATTGATCATTTAGACAGGATTTATGATGCTAATATATAGGTCTATTTATGTATTAACTTAGTTCTGTGTATGATGGATATCTTCTTTTGAATATGTATGCATTTTGCCTATATTTAGAACATATAATAGGTTCTCCTTTATCTGGAATACATCTTATGTAATATGTATAGTACATGTATTCCATACAGTGTGTAAACAATGCACCTTTGGTACAGTTTAAGGCTTCTATGTATGCTCATTTTGAAATGAAATGAATTTTTAATGAAATTCTAATGAAATTCAAATTCTATGTATAGTTACATATTGCTTTTAATAGTTGTGCTATACTCTGCCTGGTAAGTAGAACAATTTTAAATAGAGTGCGAAACAATTGGTTATAGGAAGTTACTATTAAACTCTTTTTAGATACTTGTCTTAAACACAGGAAGGATATCTTACAACGTAATATTGTTGAACTTGTTACAAATATCAAGGTTATATTTGTAAGGCAAAGCAAAAATCGTAAGCTTAAAGCAAATTTCATGAGCACTATTGAAATAGGCAGTGCTCTCTATACTGTATCATGATTCTTGTTTAAATTGCATTAGCTTTTGTTCCAAAACATGATTGCTATAAATATAGCAACTATATCTATGAGGATATATCATAGTACAAATAGGCCATTCCATAACAAGGAATATGAAATGACTATGATTTTTAAGCAGTAGTGATCTTCTCATATTAAGTATCTTGGTATTTTGCATGGAATTCAAATGCCCTCTTGTGCCATTTGTTCATATAATTTCCTGGATAATGATGCATTGGTATTTAGCAGCTTTCTTCACACCTACATGTAACCAGAGCCGCACTCTTAAGATAGGATGAATGTAATATTCCTTGACTCAGGCAGGCATTGTGCTGTGCTTTCTTACTTATATTAATATACGTGGCACACATTGAAAGATATACATGTAAAGGTGTAGATTATTTGCAAAAAGTATAGTGTACCACGTATACTAATATAAGTAAGCAAATATCATGATTTAGGCTAATAGTAGTAGTATCCATAAATATATGCTTACCAAGATGGAGAAGATATGTCTAGTAAAGAATTTTCCATTTGTGTCAATAATGAAAAGTTTTCCAAAATAGCAAAACTATGTGATACTTTGCTGTTCACACAGATTTCTGAACCTGCAAACAAAATGTGCATAGCTATTTAGCTTCAAAATTTAAATTCTAACCAATATGGCAAAGAAGGTGTCAAAGAGGAAATGGATGTAAAATATGCCTGTGTGGAGGTTATCCTTAAATAATGCCTGCCTTTTCGAGAATGCTGAATGCTACGACATTTCTCACTGTTGTTGCTGAAACCTGTTCTGTTGTTGGTTTAGATAAAACTTTAATTTGAGCTGATGGTTGAGCCCTAGATAAACCAATATAAAGTTGCCCATGTGAGAAACAAGGGCTGTTTAGATAGAGTCCAACTTGTGATAAAGTCTGTCCTTGAGCCTTGTTGATCGTCATAGCGAAGCTAAGTTTAATAGGGAGCTGCTTCCTTTGAAACTTGAATGGATAATTAAGCGCTTTAGATGGTCGTAGATTTATTCGTGGAATGAAAACATGCTCTCCTGCATGATGGCCAGTAATTATGGCACACTCAATTATATTAGGATAGAAATGCTTACATAGCATACGAGTACCATTGTAGAGACCCGATGCAGGAGCAAGGTTTCTAAGCAAAATAACAGGACAATTTTCCTTTAGCACTAATTCATGTGGACTCATACCACCAGGAGAAAGGGTATTTAAGAACTCAGTTGGAAAAATACTTCCTGTATCATCGAGCAATAAATCATATCTCTTATAACAAACTGATTCTCCAGGGAATTGATCAATTAGGCTACAATTTATGCTATCTACAGCAGTATTGAGAGGAGTCAAGATTGCTCTGTCAACAAACATTATTTCCTCGCAGCTTTTCATTTTTATTTCTGGGAAAACAAAGTCAATAAGACTATCAACAACATCTTCAGATTCATGAAAGGGCATCATCACATGTTGTCGTAACTGAATCTATGCAATTTCTGCATCTTGCATTTGACCGTTCCCCATGGCAAGTAAAAAATCAGCAAACTGGCTATCTGTCTTTGCTCTCATATTGTCAGTAAGTGTAAATCTGTGAAACTGGTTCCAAAGATTTGAAGACACTAAACTTGCTTCGACAACTTCATTCAGTGACTTCCTAGGTACAACAGGAAGGGCTTGCCTAAAATCTCCTCCCAAAACAACAACTTTTCCACCAAAAGGAATAGATGGAGAACACAGATCTCGCAGAAGGACATCGACAACTTCAATATTCTCTTTCTTTGCCATTGAAGCTTTATCCCAAATTATTAAAGAAGTTTCTTTTAGCAAAGCAGCTAAGCTACTCTGCTTGGGAACAGTACAAGAGGCTTAAACTGTAAGATCAATTGGAATCTTAAACCGTGAATGTGCTGTTCTGCCAGTAACTATATTAGATGCTGCTATGCCTGATGTAGCAGTCGGTAGAACAATCTTACCCATTTCCCTGGTAGCTGCATATAGTGCACAATACAGGTAAGTTCAACCTGTCCCACCAGGTCCGTCAACAAAAAAAGCACCTGGTTGTCCTGTTGTAATATGCTCCATAATAGAATCAAAAGCAATTTGCTGTTTAGAATTGAGCTTTAAGCACGCTTCTTTATATATATCAGGTATAGGTGCATCTAGGGCATCAACAATATCCCGAGTCCTTCTGATTGCATCTTCCGTCTCACACATTAGACCATCAAGCCCAAATTCAAGCAAACTCTTTCCCATTTCTTCTAAATACCTTTCAACAGAACGAACTGTTAAGTACTGAACTTGACCAGCCTGTTTCGAAGGATTGCTTGCGAAATCTTCAGATAGACTAGAATAAAATCTATTCCACAGGGAAAGTGGATTGCAAGGATTGCAAAAAATGAGAACAGTAGCAAATAGACGTCTTAAAGCCTTAGGCATGTGAGTTTCCGAAGCCTCTAACATACACTTCTCCACAGCATCATCTTCAGCTATATATGAGGACAAGCTTAATAGCAGGTTCATGAAAAGTTGCATAAATGTAACCATCAACAGTCCTAAGATCTTCAAATGACTTAGGCCCCCGAACATTTGCTAGCAAAAGGCGCAGGTAATAGCGTTCGCCTTCAGATGGTGCTACAAATGCCATCCTACTAATGTCTATTTTTCTATTCCCACGCCTAGTCCATGCCTTTGTAGTTGCTGTCCAAACAAAATGCTCTGAAAATTCTGAATACAAATACTGTGGTCCATCTGGATTTGCAGCGTTCATTGCAAAAAATTCTGTCAAAGCAGTTTTATGCCTCTTGATATCATTTACAACAGAATCTAAAATTTCATCTGTCCTGAACTGGACAGTTTGCAGATTAGGAAGATGGATTTGGAGAGGCAACACTGGCGGGTGCATTTAAAATAGGCCAAAACTGAATAAATGCCAAGCTGCTTCACATGAAGAGACCCACCGACCACATTGGAATTGCTCAATTTCATCTCTGGGTTTTGGATTTTCAGTAGAAGAAACATTGAAAGAAATCCGATCATGCCCCTTGTAGACATATTTGTAGAGATATTTTACAGCGCGAATTGTAGAGCACACTTCAACGTTCACGTGGCAATCAAAGAGGGCTAACAAATATGGGTTATATGGAATAACCTATTTGTTATCCATAGGTTTCTTACGAATCATTAATGTTTCTCCAGTATCACACCTTCTATACATAGGATACCCATCCTCATGGCTAGTAGTGTCAGTCACATATGGCTTTGGATATCCATACTTACACACACCGAGTCGGCCCCTATGTTTCATACAAGAGCACTTAGGATTTGCCTTCCCACATGGACCATGCATCATGTGAGATGAAACGACCTCTCTTAGATGAGGATTCTTTGTTGAGGGTATCTTTGCAGTTACGAATTTATCAAAAGCAGCAGGATCTTTAATCTTATAACCATCAGCCAAAATTAATAAAATATGAGCATGGGGAAGCCCTCGCTTTTGGAACTCAACTACATATATTAGTGCAGAAAATTCTCCAAAAATATTCTCCTCCATGATTTTCTTCTTAGGTGCAATTAGCTTAGCATGGAAAATCCTTGCAATTAAATCAGGCCTATTCTAAGCAAGTTCTCCAGGAGCTAATTCTTGTTTGATTTTTGGCCAATTTGGATTAAACGTAATAGTTATGAACAGATCAGGTTTTCCAAATTGTTGGACCAAGGTTATCGCATTCAAGTACCTGCTTCAAAGATCTCTAGGACCACCCAGAAAAGAAGGAGGCAATATGACATAATGACCGACATTTGCAGAGTTATTTTCTCCACCCTCAAAACAATAAATAAGTCCCTGATAAATATCAGCACGAATGGCAGCCTGATTTCTACGGAAAAATCCAGTCTTGTGTTTTCTAGCTTAACATACATATCAACTATATATTGTTGCAACAATCGTGAAGCTCGTAGCAAATAGTTCCCTAGCCTTATTTGGAGCTTAAATGCATAACATTCTCTACAAGAAATCTTCTTGAACCTTCTCCGTTTGCCATTAGATGCATCTGCATTGTATATAGAAAGCAGATAGCTTAATAATCACAGCAGAATAAGTTTTATGGATAATAATCACATGTACAATATTCCACGGATTAGTGAAGTGAAAAGGCTAAATATGAAACATTAAGAGCTAATCTATTTCACTAAATAAGCTACATAATAGCTGCAAGTTTAAGTTTTCCAATCACGATTCTATTCATGTAGCTAATATATTATAAGCAAAGTTTCGAGACATTCATTCATCAAACACCAAAATCTCTAACACAATATTATTCTTAACTGAATACTTATTGCATCATTGTAAATAATATCTGTACTCTATATAGCAACAAGAATAGTAAAGCATTCATTAGGTAAAATCAAACCATAAAAGAAAAACTCAGGACTCACTTGCTTCCTCTTAGACCAATAAATCCTCCACACTCTCAATTGACTCTAGTGGGCAAACTTCTTGTTGCAGCTGAACATTGCTATCAACTGTATCTATTTTCTCTAGACCCTCATGCCATCCACAATATCCATGTGGATATAAAAGAGGATATTGAAGTGGATCATAGCATCCATAGTAATGCATAATTCTATGAGGCTTAGTTGTGTTTCTTTTACCATAAGCAATAATATGAGGACTACTATATTCGCTGGATGAGGTTTCTTCTGACCATATAACAACCACCTCATTTGCAGTTGGTGAATTATAAACTCTCTGGTCAAGAACTGGATTTCGGTTCAAATGACTTTCAGTACTTTCCACAACCGGAATTTCTCTTAATGAACGGAAAAACAGAGCATATGGATTGCGATCCATTATTTGCATAAGAAGCTGAACCATTTCTTGTTCCACCTCTGGAAAAGTAGATGTAATATTCTTCACTTCATGCTCTGCATCATAAAAATACATCTGTAAATACCTTGGGTGTGTATCATCAGGCAATAAGTCAGGAAGATTATGATATATCTGTCCATGCAGCTTGAATATATATATATATATTCCCTTTTCAGTATCAGCCTGTACCTTTCCTCCCAATGAAGTGAATGCAAAAAGATTGTTATACATACGAGAGTATTTTCTAAATTGAATACATGCTTCATCCCGAGAAGTAAAAAGCCCTCTGGTGGCCATGGATTTTCAGCCAGTTGTACACCACCATTTCGACAACAAAAGAACAGTGGCTCATAGGCAAATTTTTTGGCATAGCACTTGGAACAGAATATAGGAACAGGCAACTGAAGAGGCTCAGCAGGCACTTCTTTATCACATATTAAAGCAGCACCTTCAACTGATAGATAATTAACATAGATTAACAACAAAATTTCTAATAGATAAACCTAACCATGGTTATCTTAAAAGGGTCAACTATATGTTAATACCTTCATTTTTTTTCTTTGTTCCTCTACTCTTTGTTTTAGAATGTTTTCCAACTCTTGCAATGTCAGCAATATCATGATTAAGCTGTGTCAAGCTAATCCCAGCCTTTAAAGCTTTTAAACGCTTGGTACTATACACTGTAGAAGTTGATTCTAGAGAGGTAATATCAGCATTAATAAAGGCCTGATTACGCTTTGATACACGTGTTGCTGCTAGTCTTTGTTTCTTATTTATTGGTAACAAACTTGGAAGGAATTGGACTATAGTAACAAGAAACCTTACAGTAGAAGGTTGAGTGTCTATGCATTTACGCTTCACTAATTTCTTTGGCCTAGTGAATGATTCTGCATAAAGCGATTTTTGGGAAACAATTAAAACTATAAAGAATTATCTTCCCATCTATGGAATACGAAGTGCAATTGCTTCTAAGATATAACATATAAATCTGTCTTACAATATGGTAACACAATACAAGTAATAAGATAACAACTTTTTTTCTTTCATCAAATACCTGATATATGCAAATGTATTCTTTTTTATACATGTGCAGATTGGCTTTAAATTGACATGCAGCTTGATTAATGGCAGGTTAAAAGCTAGCACCCTAATCAGTGGTTGCTTTAAAGCTATCACCCTGATCAGTGACAACATAAAATTTACATGCAAGGTACCTTAAAATCCATATGCAAGTTAACTTCAAATGTAAGTGCATTAATACAATGTGTGAATTAACTGTAAAAAGCAAGTATAAAGAAATAAACCCATTCTCAAGGTTTAGTATGTAAGGCAGCTTTCAACACATTCCTCACTCCAATATAATGTATAGTATTTCATGAAACCCTGAAATGGCCCAAAAGCAAAGAAATCATAAACAGAGGTAGAACTAGGATTCAAAGAAAATCACAATTATTCTGCAAATGCTCTTTAATAAAGCAAAAGACTAATGTAAAATTTAGATTCAACCATTTCCAATGAACAAAAGAGAGAAACATATTCATTGATTAGATCATTAAACATACACCATTTCAAATACAGTGGCATTGCAAATGGC